TCAAGGAGGGACCAGTTTTTGGAGAAGGACGTCATGCTTGGGAGAGAGAAGGGACAGTGCTCTCGAAGATATGGATTGACTCAGTGACTGGGGTAATGAGTGTAGGTGTGTTTAAAATGATGAGGTTGGCTCAGGATAGATCAGGGTTCAGAGCTGTTGTACACAGGGTCACTATGAGTTACAAGTGATTTGATAGCACTTATCAACTTAACAGCAACAACATGTACATGTAAGGAGATTGATTATCTCTCTTGTGGAACAAGTAGTATATTCGAACTATTTGCCTTTGGGTTAAAGTGAAACTTCTTACCCTAGGCTACCAGAGCTACCCTATGCAGGAAGGATAAGTGCAAGCAAGAAATATAACAAGTTTAATCAATGAGTAAATGATATGTCATTGTTGTTGTTGTGTACCATCAAGTCAGAATTGACCAATAGCTGACCCTCTCGTGGGTTTTCATTGGCAATTAATCATATGGGAGGAGACTGCCCATCCTTCTCTCACAAATAATATGTTATGAGATATAGGTATATATAATATTTATATTTATATAGATATAACCAAAAGAGGAAAATTAGGGGCCTGGAAAAATTAGATAAGGGTTGGGGAACACAATCAACGTTAAACCATTACTATTCTAGTCAACTCATTCAATAGCAATGTATAATGGAAATCTTATACTTTGCATATTTTAGGTCAGTTCTAAAGTTTTAAAAATTTTAAGTTAAATGAAATATAAATGATAGTTTTAAAAATTATTCCTTTGTTTTATGAAAAATTTAATGGTAATTACTTATGAAAATATCTGAAAGTATTTGGTTGTAAACTCAATTAATTTCTAGTGAATCAAGAGTCACAGAAGAATCTAACAGCCCCTAGGAAATGTCTGTTGTGGGTTTTAAATGACTTTAAAAAATTATTGCTATAATTATACTATGTAAGATTGATGTTCATTTTAAATGTTATACACAATATGAATTATGGTTTTATGATAGATAAATGCTAAAAAGACATTTCTATAGAATTTTTTAAAAGTTCTTTTTAAATAACATGAATCACAACGGATGACTACTAATGTATGTCCTAAACTAGTCTCTAAAATCTAATTATTAGAACACACAGCAGAGTTGGTCATTAAAAAGTGATAAATATAACAGAATTATGCCTCAACTCATACTTTTATTCCCATAAGTGCTCACAAGAGAAATAACAGAATATTTAAACTAGCAAAAGTCAAATTGCTTGATCAGTATAAATGTTAACATTTTGACCCACAGATACACATCTGTGATTAAATAGAAATGCCTTTAGGCCATATTGAATAGGAACTTAGTATTATTGTATAAAAACATGTAAAAATTAATTTTATGTTCCAATTGAAAACAAGAAGAGGGTTTCTCTAAAGTGACTTTAAAACTTCATTTTCAACATTCATCCAGAAAATTATTTATCTGAAAAAAGACATCTGTCCTAAAGATTGCAAACCACAGTCTATCTCAGATAGACGATATTGCTGTTCTGAGCCTTGGAGATGGAACTGACTCAAAGATGACTCCCCAGCAGGTTTTCAGAGGCAATACACACTAAGGGAGAAGACTGCCCATTTGTCTCCCATGTGGTAGCTGCTGGATTTAAGTAGGTTGTATAAACAAACAAACAAACAAACAAACAAAAAGTAATCAGGAATAAGAGACTCAATTCATCCAGATGTCACTTTGAGTAAATTGTTGTCAGATGCTGTTGAGTTGAGTAAGACTCATAAAGACCCTTTGAAAAACAAATCTGAACACTGTCCTATCCTGTGCCATCCTCATCATTCCTGAAACACTTCAGCCTATTGTTGCGTCACTGTGTCAATCCATTTGGTTAAGGGTATTTCTCTCCCTCACCGATCCTCCCACCCTTCTAAGTATGATGTACCTCTCTAAGGCACAGTCTCTCCTAGTAACATGACGAAAGTATATGAGATGAACCTTTGTCGTCTTTTCTTTCAGGAAGCAGTTTGGCTGAGTTTTCTCCAAGACCTTTCTATTTGGTTTTTTGGCAATACTTTGGATATTCAGCACTCTTCTTCAACACCACAGCTCAAAGACATCAATTCTTCTCTGTCATTCTTATTCCTTGTCTAGCTCTCACTTGCACTGCAAGTGATTTGAAAAATCATGAATGGAATCAGATTCACCTTAGTCTTCAAACTGATATAACTCCTTAATAACTTGGAGAGTTTCCTGACGGTATATTTTCCCAGCTACAATACATCCACCCATCTCCTGCCTGCGGATAGCAAGGTCATTGATCGTGGATCCAAGTAAGATAAAGTCATTGACAGTTTCAATCTTTTCTCCATATATCATGAAGTTGCCTGTCAGTCCAGTGGTGACAATTTTCTTGACAGTGAGATGTCATCCATATTGAAGGCTGCAGTCTTTGATTTTCTTTAGCAAGCCCTTCAAGTGTTCTTTATTTTGAGCAAGTGAAGCTGTGTCATCTGCATAAGATAGGTTGTTGATAAACTTTCCTCTGTTTCTGATGCTACATTCTTCTTCACAGAGTCAAGATTCCTGAATAATTTTTTCAGCATACAGCTTGAGTAGGTATGGAGATAGGCTGCAACGCTGACACATACCTTTCTTAATTTTAAACCACATAGGGTTCCCTTGATCTCTCTGATTGTAAAGCAGCCTCTTGGTCTAGGTAAAAGTTTTGAATGAGCACAATTAAGTGAACTGAGATTCCAATTTTTCTCAATGCTAGTCATAATTTGTTATGATCCCTACAGCCGAATACTTTTGCGTAGTAAAACAGAACTAGACATTCTTCTGGTATTTCCTGTTTTCACCTAGGATTCATCTGACATCAGCAATAATATCCCTAGTGCTATGACTCATTCTTAATCCATCTTGGACTTCTGGCACTTCTCTGTTAATGTACTGTCCTAGTCATTTTTAAATATTCTTTAGCAGTATATTAAGTAAATGAGGGAACTTAAAAATTAGACACAAAATTGTAAGGTCAAATTTAATGATGTACATGAAAAACAGGAACTCACAATCCCAGTGAAGCCCAGTCCCCAGGAGTCATAAATGCACCTTTTCCTATAAAAGCCCATGTCTAGATTTCAGTAGGCTATAAACAGACAATATTAAGGCCAACTGCCTAGTGCCTTTAGGCTAATTTCCATTATTTGTTCACTTTTTCTCTTTTTTAAGGAAACAAACTTTTTTGGGGTGAGATATATAGGCTATTTATAAGGTTCTTCTAAAAATAAATAATTATATAGTTTACTGAAGCTCAAATGCATCTGATTAGCAGATCAGGAGAAAAGTGAGAATATATGAAAGGCATCTGGAAGCTCACAGGTGATGTTAAAAGCAAATGATTACGTATGTGTAAAAATTTAAAATGTGAGCACTTTCATGCTGAACTCTAGAAGGACTTTTTAAAGTGGGGCTTAGTTTTATATTTTAATGATTGATTACAGTCGTTTGAAAGGAGGAGTGGCATCCACTTCCATAATAGCTTGCCTCCAGAAACCCTATGAACCTGGAGAGAGGATGAAAGACATCCAAGCGTCAAGGACTCTCCTTCATAGGATCGCTATGAGTCACCTGCGACTCGACAGCACTTAACAACAACAATTACAGTCATGTTACCTCAAAATAGGAATGATATTTCTATTTTTTTTGTAACTAATTTATAAAAATTGTAGTATTTTGATACAGACACTAAATACATTGGTACTCTTACAGATATTGCTAAAAATCTACACATTATAAACACTACAATTCCCTTCCTTTATCGGTACTGTTGGAATGATTTAAACTTAGCAGTGCACATATATTTTCCTAAAAATATTTCTATCTCAATCCAAAACGAACTGCTTTGCATAGGCCCTGATCCAACACAAGCCTTCCTCAGTTTCAGAGGCTGTCAACCCTCTCAGGGTCACCCTCCCATGGTTCTACACTGGAATGACAGCTGGAGACTCACCACCTACTGGTTAGCAGCTTAATGTGCCATGGACTAAGTCACCAGAGCTCACTTAGTGCTTCAGTATTATTAAGATGTTTGTACAAGTTTGTGGAATCTTTTTAAGTAAAAGTGTAGAAATCATTCTGAATAAAGTTGTTATCTTAATAGCTTGATGGTTTATAAACACAAAATGACCATATTAACTCATATGTCTTCTTTATGGGAATCCCTAGGCAAAATAAATGGTTAGATGCTCAATCACTAGCTGAAAGGTGATGATTCAAATCCACCCAGTGGCTCCTTGGGAGAACCTGGTGGTCTGTTCATGAAGGTCTTTTACCATAAAAGAAGCTATTTCAGCAAAGATGAAGTTGTAACTGTTACATATCTCTCCCCTAGAAAATCACCTCATCCCTCCTTAAGTCATCTCTGCCAAGAAAGTAAGAGAACTTTGGCCAGTACTCACATTATTTGGAAAGTCTATGATTCAGACTGACTCAAACAAATTTCATTCTGTGATACAGGGGCAGACATAGTACAACGAAAAACTATACAAAGAAAGAAGAGCTATTGCTTCATGTTGCCCATATTAGGATACAAAACTAGAAATAGAAATAGTTATAGAAATAGAAATAGTTCAGTTGAATAGTCTTGTCCAAGATGACCAATCATTGTACATTAAATTTTGCCACTCAAATTACTACCACCTTTCAGTTTTTCTTTGGTCTAAAAAATGAAAATGAGAACCAGTTTCCTAGGAGTGTATATTTCTTTTTTTTCATTCTCAACTTAATGGAGGGAAAATAAGAGATGGCTAATTGATTTAGTTGCCAGCCCCAACAAGGAGACCAGTAGTACTCAGTATCTTATCTACATATGAATAACAGTGTAGTTGTTTCTCTGTGGTGTTCAATTTATAAGAGAGTGTTTCTGTAAACCTTCATTTCCTCCCTACTTTTATGCTGGTGAATTTTGACTCCCAACATTAAGCCAGTAAATAGGTAAGAAGGAAGAAAATTTAGATTACCATGACTATTACATCTGGATGTTTCCACAAGTCTGCCATTTTGATCGTAACATGCCATTGCCTGGTAACGATATCCTTGTCCACATTCCTTGATGTCTCCTTGTACTTTCATCCCCAGCAACACTTCAACTTTACCTTCTGGCAAAATACAGTCTGACCAGTTCCCCACGGGCTGTGCATTATATTTGTCACAAGGACAATACTGAGTCTCAATCAATGGGTATAGTTGAGAATTTTTACATTTTTCTTTCTTTTTACTTTTTCCTGTGGAAAACAAAGCACAAGAAAATTGGGGTCAGAAAAGAATAATGCTGGTTTCATGCGTTCTCAAATTTTCTACTTTTCTAAACTTCCTTTCTTGCTTTTCAATCACATTCAGCAGTAATCTATGCTATTTATATAGCCTACCGTTTTCATTACACGTATTTTCAGGAGTATTGTGTGCTTTTCATAGTGAATTTTTCTGATTTAGTAGTTTTAAAATAGCCTATTTTGCAGAAGACATAATCTTCAAAATTATTAAAATCCTCTAAAATGATCATGTAATTTCACCAACTGGCAAGTTTGACTAAGTGCATAAACCTTTTCATTGTGATACATACAAACATATAAGAGGAAAAGAGAGTCACTGCTTTAGGCTTCATAATTCTTTTGTTAGTTCCCAAAGCAATGGAGGAGTTAAGTAAAATTAGAATTAGACAAATGATACATTTGGATTTACTTTTTTGATCCTGATTTTGCATTTTAAGTATTTCTCTAGAATAATCACTTTGTCCTATTAGTAATTAATGTGGAAAATACTAGTAATATATTAAAAAAAAGATCATCAATACCAGAATATGACCATATGAAGATATTTGAATATAAATAAAAACTCTAAGTAAATTTTATTTTGGGGAGAATAGCAATTATCTTTATATTAATTTATATATGTGATTTAAAAAGTATAAACATGTGTTATATACTGTGGTGTTAAGAGTTTATTATTCAAAATGGCTTTCCTAGACATTGAGTTTTACTTTGCCATGTAGATGAGTGGAAACATGAAATTAGGGTATATTAGTCTATCCACACGAAGATTGGCTAGTCTTGGATGTAAAAGAAATAGATTCAGCAGTAGAATTTGAACATCTCAGGACCAGCAAAGAAACAAGAGAATGCAGTATGCATTTTGGGGCCAGATATGCTCAGACCAGCCAAATCAGGGCCTCTAGGAACAGCCAGAGCTGTAAGCAGCAGAGAACATGAGAGCTAACATGAGACGGAGATGATTTGGGGACTGCTATATCACAAAACTGGAGCTAAGAGCCTTTTGGGTGAGTTTATTGGAGGACTAGGGTGGGGTAGGGGGGATGTGCTGTAAGCCACAAGATGTGGGGGTTGTGGGGGAAGCAGGGCTAAGAGTCTAAAGCCACATGGCTGAAGGCTGAGGTGCTTTGTGAACACATTTCAGAAGCTGTCTTGACTGAGTGATTGTATTGTGCTACTAACCTGAATTAAAGCCTTTTGACTTACCAATATGGCTCTGTGTGGTCTGTGAGCTATTGCAAGAAAGTCTGAACCCAGTAAAGTAGTAAGATTGGTATTGACATGAGTAGAAAAAGGTGCGGGAATGTGGAGGACATGTCTGACCTCATGAGAATTAATTTGTGTTGTTGATAAGGACAGTTTCCGTTTGTGCAGTTGGTAAATGTTAGATATGGCCATCCCTACATGGTCATTTCTCTTTTTACATATACTATATATGTATCACTAATTAAGGTTATTTATTTCTAATATATATTATTTATCTCTAGCTTTCATTGCCTGTCTTACGTAGTGTTTGACAATGTGCAGTATGACAAGTGATTCCTTTCATTTCTTTCCAATGTTGAATAGTTTAGCACCAAAATATTTAGGTTTTTAAGCATGGAAGGAGGAGAGGCATCCACTTCCAGCTTGCCTCTGGAAACCCTATGAACCTGGAGAGAGGATGAAAGGCATTCAAGCGTTGAGGACTCAACGGCACTTAACAACAACGACAACAACAACAACAGCATCTTTTTTACTTTTATTTTTTTTGTCATTGCTGAGTCTTTCAAATCTGCCCACCTCTAGTTCAGAAATATGCCTCATTCTTATTCACCAATATAACTGAATTTTTCATTACAATTGCTTTTTAAAATGTAGTTTTCAGATACAGAGATAATGTTCTATTTTTCACTTTGGGGAAGGAAAGATTAGGTTTAGCTGTGAGAGTAAGTTAAAAAAAGAGATAGGAATCTTTCCTCTTCTCACAAAACTTTGCTTCAAGTTTTTCACAATCGCTAGGCAATCCACTGAAAGTTCATATTTATATGAAAAAGTAAACTGTCTCTTATTGTATACAGAGTGTTCAATTATCAAGGATATGGTTTATTTCTACTAAATGTACACAATGCCGCTTTAACTACTGACTACACTAAAAGGCATCTGAATACTTAGATATGCTAGGTTTTAGTAGAGCAGCCATAAAGTTCATCCATACATTTTGTACATATACTGTCAAAAGTCTCTTGGTCTGATTTCTATTATTTGTTTTTCTAACTTGATAAGAGTTGGCTTTGTTATCAGCATTATTCTTACCAACAATAGTGCGCTTTCTGGTCCTAACAGCACCACAGTCTCCATTGCATGACGAAAACTTAGACCAGCTGGTGAATTGACAGTCGTCTTGGCAGGGGATCTGGCAGGCTTGGGTGAGGGCTGGCACAGGGCCTGCATATTGGAAGCATTCAAAGATGCTAGCCTGTCCTCCGTCTTGCTTTCTACAAGTAATGGCTGAAAGAAAAGCATAAAGCTGACTACTAAATTCAAAGGTCTGTAATTATAAAACAAACGTTCTAACACTCTTTATACAGGTAAATCAGTCTACATCTAATTTTTATTTGTTGCAGGAATATGATCAAAAAATCAAGAAACTAAACCAACTACCTTTGAGTTTATTTTGATTCATAGGAATCATAAATGATAGGAGTATTCTAATGATCAGGGATGGTAATGATATTGATCCTCTAGGTATTTTTTTAAACTTGTTTTCTAATACAGGTAACTCTTGGTGGGATTTGTGCATATTGAAGTGCATATTCACATGGATAGTATTTAACAGAGTCTGTTTTTTTTAAAATTGAAATTATATTAAGGATTTCAATTCACATATGTGGGATATATTCATACATGAATGTGAAATATAAGTTATATATTAGGTAATGATTTATGCTAAACAAAAGGTATTCACACAGGAACTGGAAAGCAGTGACACGTCTAGTATTTGTTTTAATAACATTGATTACTCTAGAGGCTTAAACTCCAACATAGTGCCATTAAGTTGAATCCAACTTAGACTGAGTTTCTGAGGCTGCAAATCTTTACTGGAAGATAAAGATTTTTCTCTCTTTAGAGGGCTGGTGAGTTCAAATCCCCCTGACACATTACATGCTTTGCCATCAGGATTACTGCTAGAAGAGGCTTAACTCAGTCACTGCTGTCAAGTGGGTTCCAATTCATAGTGACTCTCCTTCAGATTTTCAAGGCTAGACATTTTAATAGGGGGAGACTGTTTTTCTTACTGAGGGAGCCCTAGTGGATTTGAACCAATGAATGAGGGACTTTTTGTTTAGCAGTCCAATATCACCAGAGCTTTTAACTGTAAGAGGCTTTGGGGCAGAAAACTGGTTAGATGACTGGGATTGGAATGTGGATTATTGAATTTTGTCTTCACAAAATATGTGTAAATCATAGCCTTTATGCCTGTGATGGAGAGTACTGGTGATATAGTGGTTAAACATCAGTTGCCAATTATAAGGTCAGTAATTAAACACACCAGTAATTAAACACTTTCTGGAGAAAGATATGATAGTCTGCTTCTATAAAGATTATATCCTTGGAAACCCAACAGATCATCTCTAGTAAAGGGTCATTTGTCCTAAAAGGTCATCATGAGCTGAAAATCCACTGGATAGCAATGAGTATTTCAGGACAGAACCTGAACTTGTCTTTTTAACTATTCTGAATGCAACACCATTCTTACTCTGTTTTTCATTCTTGGCATAGTATCATTTGATTGTCTGGTTCAAAGTATGCAAAGCTAGTACATCTCATCTTACTAATGCATAGAATGTTGATGGTCATGTGTCCCATTTCAATTGTGAAATGAAGACATTAGAAAACAACTTCTAGTTTTCCTCCATTCCTACTCTACACACTCCATGTTTCAACAATTAAAGAATGTTCTCATTTTGATTGACTTCCAATTGGGGCACTTCCTCTAATATTGTATCTATTTGTGTTAACAGTGTTTTCAGAGGCCTTTTCATTTTAGAAACAGATGGCTAGTCTGTCTTAATCTGGGAGCTCTTCGAAAGCCTGTCCACCATGCGTGATCCTTTTGGCACCTGACACACTGCAGGCACAGTTTTCAGCATCACAGCAATAAGTACACAAATTGACAAGTATAATTACAGTATAAGAAATTGGCAAGTGTTGTACTAATTTGAATGATGACACACAAATAAGAATACAGATATCTAAGGTACAAAGTAATTGTTAATATGCAGATACATTCTCCAATACTACAAACGGTTGTCAGTCTCACAGTTTAGGACACTCCATGACTGGAGTAAGACTCATCCATAACTTTCGTTATGCAGATAACACAAACTTTCTTGCTGAAAAGTGAAGACTTGAGGCACTTGCTGCAGAAGATCAAAGGCTGCGCCCTTCCATATTGATTCCATCTCTCTTAATGTGAAGAAAACAAAAAAAATCTTCACCACTACACTAATAAACAAAATCATGATAGATGGAGAAAAGATTGAAATTGTCAGTGACTTCATTTTACTTGCATCCACAATCAGTACCCTTAGTACTAGCAGTCAGGAGATAAGGAAACATATTGGATTGGAAAAGTCTGTAGTCAGGGACCTTTCCAAACTATTGAAGAGCAATATAGTCAGTTTGAACATGAAAGTGCACATGATTGGGGTCATGGTCTTTAAAATCACTTGTTATGCATCAGAGAGCTGGACAATGACTAAGCATGACAGAAGAATGGTGATGTCTTTGAACTGTGGTGCTGGAGAGGAGTGCTGAATATCCTATGAACTGTAGAAAGAACAAACCATTAAGTCTTGAGTACGGTGCAGCCCGAGTGGTTCTTGGAGGCAAAGATGATGAAGCTTCATTTCATATATATTACTTCATATACATGTTATGAGAAGGACATCACGCTTGAGAAGCATGCTTGGACATGTTCAGAGAGTTTATTCCTTGAAGAGGGACATCATGCTTGAGAAGATGGAGGGATGCAAAAGAAGAGGGAGACCCTCAACCAACACAGTCATTGCAACCATGGGCTTGAGTGTGTCAGAGGTCATGTGAGGACGGCACAGGATGGGACAGAGTTCAGATCTGTTGTTCACAGAGTCACTATGAGTTACACTTTACTCACAGGCACCTAATAAGAACTGTAATAGGTATGTCTGGGCTATGATCCCATTTGGGAATGGTTTCCCTTTTTTAATGAAGCAGAATTAATGGTGTTTTGAGTCAATGTCTGTCTTGAGACATGAAAGAAATGAAATAAGCAAGAAAGTGAGTGGAGATATGTAAGAGAGATATGCAAATACTAAAAGTCATCTAAGAGCAGAAACTAAGAAATAAGGCTCTTATTCTTATTCAGAATTGACAAAGAGAGCCTTTGACTAGAACTAGCATTCTGAATTTGGGCTTCTAGCCTCCCAAACTGTGAGAAAGTCGACTTCAGTTTACTAATGTTACCTACTCGTGTTACTACTATCACAGCAACACCAGACAACTAAGACATGGGAGCTCTGGTGAAGCAATCTGTAGAGAGCTGTGCTTCCAATTCAAAGGCTGAAAGTCTCCAGTAGTTCAAATCCACCAGTGGTTCTACGGAAGAAAGGTGGGAAATCTCTTCCTGTGTGATTTAAAAACTCTGAAACCTGGCGAAGGATCACTATGAGTAAGGATGAAGTCCACAGTGTATGACTGAGGTTCAAGGAACTTGTCATGAAATTACATAGAAAAGTAAGCATACAAAATATGTTATTTTTGTTATATTATGGTCTTCTGCCTCCACCTGAACCTTGAAATAAAAAATAAAACCAGAGACTACTGGCTATTAGGAAGCTCTAGTATCCTATTTAGAAAGGTGTTATGTTTTCAATCAAGTTCAAATCCACCAGATGTTCTGTGGAAGTAAGATGGGAAATCTCCTTTTGTACAATTACAGTCTTAGAAGCCCAACCTGGAGGGTCTGCTGTGAGCTGCTTATGACTTGAAGGCAATAAAAGAGGGGGAGGTAAAGAGAGATTAGGTATTAGCCATTTTTGTTTATCAAAACGTGTATCATTACTAAATTATATGTTGTTTATGTTGTTGTTGGTTGCCTTCAAGTTAAACACGACTCACAGCAACCTTACAAACAAAAGGCCTGAAGCCCCTCTAAAACTATCAATATTTATCAAAGTTCATAGAGTTTCCAGAGGCATGTTATTTAGGAAGTGGATGCCACTTCTGCTTCCAAACCTGTTGTAATATATTATTGTTGTTATGTGCCATTGAGTCATATTTGATGTAGAACAGCCCTATATACAGCAGCTCTGAACCCTTCCCTGTCCTAAGCCAGTTTCACTAATTCTGACACACCAACCACCATTGTCCCAGATACTGTATCAATCCACCTCATCCCAGGTTTCCCTCTCCTGTGCTGTCAGTCCACCCTTCTGAGCATGATGTCCTTCTCCAAGGACCAATCTCTCCTGATCACATGCCCAAAGTAATTGAGGCAGAGTTTCAAAATCCTAGCCTTCAAGGAGAGACTTGGTTTCACCCTCTCCAAGACAGACCTGTTTGTTTTCTTGGCAGTCCATGGTATGTTCAAGACTCTTCTCCAGCACCACAACTCGAAGGTATCTATTCTTTTTCTGTCATCTGTAGTCATTGTCCAATTATCTGAAGCATGAAAAGTAATTGAGAAGACCAAGGCCTGCTTTAGGCACACCTTTGTATCTAGACTGACATTGTTGCTCCTTCCTCAGCACTCTGGAAAGGTCACTGACAGCAGATTTCCCCAATGCAATTGGTCTTTTGATTTTCTGCCTGCTGGTATTAATTAAGAGTGTTGATTGTGGATCCAAGCTGTAATTGCCAAAAGCCTCAATATCTTCTCCATATTATGGCACTGCCAATTGGCCCAGCGGTGAGAATCTTTGTTTTCTTGATGTTGAGCTTCAATCCATATTGAAGCCTGTAGTCCTTGACCTTTTGCAGCAAGTGTTTCAGGTCTACTTCAGTGTCAGCAAGCAAGGTTGTGTCATCTGTATATCATAGGTTGTTAATGAGTCTTCCTCCAATCTTGATGCCACATTCTTCCTCATAAAGCCTTGTATCCCAAATGATCTGTTCTGCACACAGACTGAAAAGGTATGGGGACAGGATGCATCCCTGACATACTCCTTTCCTGATTTTGAACCATGCAGTGTTTCCCTACTCTGTTCTGAAGACTGCTTCTTGGTCCAAGTATAGGTTTCATATAAACACAATCAAGTGCTATAAGAGTCCCTTTTTCCTCAAGGTTAGCCACAATATATTGTGATCCACACAGTCAAATGCCTTTGCATAGTCAATAAAACACAGATAGACATTCTTCTGGTACTCTCTGCTTTCTGCCACAATCCATCTCACATTGGCAATAATGTCCCTAGTGTCACAACCTCTTCTAAACCCAGCTTGCACATTTCTGGTATTATATGAGATCT